CCTTGATAATTTTACCCAAGCTTTTCCTCCTGGTAACACTAATGATTAGAGCCTGAAAGCTTCCAAAGTGTATGCGTGCTTGTTTTAAAGAAAAGCTTTTGATGGGGTTTGTGACTATCTTAAAGAAGTTGAAAGAAGAATTGTGAGATGAAGCAGAATTTGTAGTTTAAGGTAGTATATTATTTTAGGTAAGATTCTAAATGTAATTTGTCCTCTGAATTTCTCTTAGAAGTGAGATTTTAAAAAATATGATACCTATGCAAAATTTTATGTGTTTGTGTATTTTTCTGGGGAGAGGGTCCAGTTTTTTCATGACCCACAATTTAAAAAAACACTGGCTTAGTATACAGAGGTTATGAATAAAAATCTACCAATTATTACTGTTGTTAACAAGGTTAAGGTCAGTGTGGTACAGAACTTTCAAGACAGAAAGGAATAATCTGTTTTAATTTTTACACAATTGCCACCATTTAACATTATAAAAACAGTGACCGTATTGATTAGGGGTTATAAAGCCAAAATTTTTAAGAAAGCCTTTTCATAAGGATAGAGCATACTCAGAGTTATTTTAACTGTGATTCTTGGTCTTTAAGCCAACTGTTATGAAACTAAACTTTGGACAGTTCTACCATGATTGCTTTTAGAATTTATAAGTTGTTCCAAATAGCAGGATGTTAGTTTGACTTATCCATAAAGTCCTCCTCTTACTTTGTATTTAACAGTTCTTTTCAACTTGGATTGCAAAGGACAGGAACTAAGTTTATAAAGCCACTTCCTATTCCAAGCATTTCCTTTATTCCCAGTGACCTGGGAATGCCAAGGTCTGGGTGTGCCTCTTTCTCTGTGACTGACTGCTACAGCCACAGTGAGAGCTTCTGGTGCCGAGCTCATTTTGACAGAAAGCGCTCAGTTTCTCCACCCCACAAATCTCATCCTGAATCTACCCAGCACTCCGTAGTAATCTCCTTTAAGTAATTGCATTTTTCTCTCAAAGAGCATGGTGCTCCTTATCTCATCTTATCTAATCATGAAGAACAGCTTTGTAGTCATTTGTATGAAATCTTTTTTTTTTTTTTTACCAGCCAGAAACGTGGGCTCTCTAAACTGGTAAATGCTACTTATTAGATAGGGAAATTCTGCCAAGAGGAGAACCTAACCCAGAGAGGTCTGATGCTGTTGGCTTTCAGACCTTAACTGAAATGAAAAAAATTATTTCCATATATATATTTTCACATATACATTGCCTCTTAACCATCATAGAGGTGAAACAATAGGATTTACTAATAGGGTAGTTCACTTCAATTGCTTAACTTTTAGCAGAACAAATATAATTTTGAGTTTCACTCTACCTATTGAGAATACCCAAACAGCACTTCAGGTTGGCAAAACTTAAAAAGCAGTTTAAATTCAGAACGTTGAAATTTCAGTGTGTATTAAAATCCATGGCCACTTCTGCTTCTGCTGAAGGTTTTCATTGGTTCAGCTTCAGTTCTCCTCTGTGTGAGCCTCGGGGACACAAAGGGCACGAGGCTAAACATATTCACCTCAATCATCCTGTTGGACCTACTTGCTCCAAAGGATTGAAGATACGGCCATGTATAGAAATAAAGAGTAGAGGAACCATTTCACAGCTTGTAAGTTAGTTGCTAGCCTGTATGTTTAATATAAGAGGAAATGTATAAACTTATTTCCCACAACATTGTATGCTTGTCTTCTCTAGTCTGCAAGGTAAAGTTTGGGCGAAAATCCAGAGTCGAAAGAAACCTTTCTCACCAAACCCATTCCTCCAACGAGGGCAAAGTAATGGTCAGGTTTGATATCAAGGAGGAGCTTTGAGCCCGTAGAGATCAATTCAGAAGCCTGGCCTCTCTGGGACAAAAGAGCTGCTTGTTTCAGTGAACAGTGCAGCAAATGCTGCCGTCACTTGGTGTCAGCCCTCCAGTAATAAGTAATAAAAGGTCAACAATCCACCAAGTCCCAAGTCCTCCAAGTGTCAGTAGCTCCCCTACTGCTGTGCCAGTGTGTCCCGTACAGAAGCGATCCACTCCAAAACATCACAGGAAGAAAGAGTGGAGGCGATTGGTTGTGGCATAGTGTTTGGTATACTTTATGTAAGGTTTATTCTCTCCTGGGAAGGTCCTAGGACTGGCATGATCAATTCCGTCCAGGGCCCGGCTCTGGGCTGACGTGTGTTCCACGTCACTGTGGGCCAGATCATGGAACTTGAGACAACCATAAACAAGTTCCTGGTGGGCAGTTGCGTTTCCAACATGATCCCCTGGGGCTTCACGAATTCATCAGGCTGGACAGCCACCCGGCCCCATCTTCCCACGCTCAGTGGCAGAGACCCAGCCTCCTCGACCACCAACCCCTGGGGTCACCTTAGGTTTTCTCATGTTATCGTCTAGGTGTTTTATAGTTTTGCATTTAATGTTTAGATTTGTAATACATTTTAAATTAATTTTTGTGAAGGATGTAAGGTCTTTGTCTAGATTCTTTTTATTTTTTTTTACATGTGAATATTCGGTTGTTCCAGAACCATTTGTTGAAAAGACTATCTTTGTTTCATTGTATTGCCTTTGCTTCTTTGTTAAAGATCATCGACCATATTTATGTGGGTTCATTTCTGGGCTCTGTGTCCTCTTTCATTAATATTTTTGTCCATTCTTTCTCCAATACAACAGTTTGATCACTAACTTTATAGCAAGTCTATTTTTTTTTAAATCCTTACCCGAGGACATGCTTATTTATTTTAGAGAGAAGGGAAAGGAGGGAGAGGGAGAGAAACATTGATGTGAGAGAGGAACATGTCTCCTAAGCGGGAGATCAACCTGCAACCTAGGCATGTGCCCTGACTAGAACTGAACCCGCAATCTGTTGGTTGACGTGATGATGCTCCAACCAACTGAGCCACACTGGCCAGGACTATAGTAAGTCTTGGAGTGGCATAGTGTCAACTTTTTTTTCTACTTCAACAGTGTGTTGACTCTTTTGAATCTTCTGCCTCATTCTATTTTTTAAATTAAATTTTTTTTAATATTTTATTTTTTAGAGAGAGGGAAAGGGAGGGAGAAAGAGAGGTTGCCCCTCACCTGCCCCCAACTGGGGACCTGGCCCACAGCTCAGGCATGTGCCCTGACCAGGAATCAAACCAGTGACCCTTCAGTTTGCAGGTCAGCACTCAAGCAACGTATACACATTAGAATCTGTTTATTGCTATCCAAAAATAACTTGCTGGGATTTTGATTGGGGTTACATTTAATCTGTAGGTCAAATTGGGAAAAACTGAGATCTTGAGTCTTTCTGTCTATTAACATAGGTGTGATATTGTGATTTTTAATATATTTGTACATGTGCATATATATGTGTATATTATATATATATATATATATAGAGAGAGAGAGAGAGAGAGAGAGAGAGAGAGAGAGAGAGAGTCTTCCTCCATTTCTGGCACAGAGCTCCTAAAACCTTTGGAATTTCCTAAGTGATAAGAGTGTAATGGTGTCTTGCTATTTATTACAAACCCCTTTCAACCAGACCTGAGTTTATGTAAATGAGGTGACCTTTGGAAAGCACCTAAGGTTGGGGCTTGTTGCCAGGGGAACCAACCAACCATCCTTTGGAGGGGGGTGATGAGCTGGATGTTGAATTCATCACTCATGACCAATGATTTAATAATTATGCCTGTGTAATGAAGCCGGCATAAAGACTCCAAAGCCTGGAGGTCAGAGAGCTCCCAGTTGGTGAAACATGGAGACTTGGGGAGAGAGGCACACCCAGGGGAGGCATGGAAGCTCCATGCTCTTTCCCATACACCTTGCTCTATGCATCTTTTCCATCTGGCTGTTCCTGAGTTATATCTTTTTGTAACAAACTGGTAATCTACTAAGTAAAATGTTTCTCTGAGTTCTGTGAGCTGCTCTAGCAAATTAATTGAACCAATGGAGGGGATTGTTGGAAGCTTTGATGCATAGCTAGTCTTTCAAAAGCACAGATGACAACCTAGACTTGATTTGTGTCTGAAGTGAAGTCTTGTAGGACTGAGGCCTTAACCTATGGGATCTGATATTATCTCCAGGTAGATAGTATCAGAATTGAGTTGAATTGTAGGCCACCCAGTTGGTATCAGTGAATTGCTTGGTGGTGTGGAAAAAAACACACACATCAGAATTGGGTCAGAATCATAGACCCTAAGTAGAGATTGAGTTTCACGACCACCTTCTCCCCTCCTATTGCCTCCGCCACCATGCCTATTCATAAGCATCTGTCGATATGCTTGAAAGTTCTTTTTAGAAGAAATTAAGAAGATATGGGAGATGAGGAGCATCCCAAAGGTAAAGGAAAGGATGGGCATCCCAAAGGTAAAGCCTGACTTCAATCAGAGAAAAGGAATTCAGGGAAAAGGCAAGAGAGATAATATTTTGAGGACTAAAGGACAAAGTTCTTCCCAGAGAAAAGAGCAATCTCTTGCCATTCTGCCTGAACATCAGGGCTGTGTCCAGAGGGAATGTGGGTCAGAACTGAAGCAGTAGGAGCAGGGCCCAACAGAGCATTAGGAAAGGGGCAGCTTCACCCAGTGATTCTGCACTGGGATTAATGCAAGGCTTCTTTTATAAATGGCTTGCAGGCAGCAGTCCCCCGAGAAAAGTTCAGAGTTCAGAAAAATATGAGAGGTGTGTGTTAAAGAAAATGAGAGACTCCCTCAGACATAACTAGATACATGTTGGTAAGGCTGGCACTGTGGTCCTGTGTCAGGCTAGTTGAAGGCTTTGATCCTGCAAACCTCTATATTAGTGTTATGTGACCTTTATTATTGTCAGGGATAATGATGTCTGAGGGACATTGAGTTACATATACAAGTGTTTTCTTCATCACAGATACTGAACTCATTCTAAGGTGGAGCTCTGTCCTAATCACTCCTGTTTCCCCCATAGGTAATGCTTTGCACATGGTGGAGGAAATTCTTAGTCCTCACTTTAAGATCCTGTCCAAAATTACCCTCATGTCAACGTCTGGAAGGCTTTCCCTAGGAAGAGTCTTCCCAGAGCCCCATGCATGTCCTTGTTCCTCAGGCTATAAATGAAGGGGTTCATCATGGGGGTGACCACAGCGTACATCACTGTGGCCACTGAGTCCTTCATGGAGTAGGTGTTGAGGGGCTTCAGGTACACCATACACAGTGTCCCATAGAAGAGGGTGACCACAGCCAAATGGGAGGCACAGGTGGAGAAGGCTTTGTACTTGCTAGAGGCTGATGGTATTCGGAGGATAGCACCGATGATCCAGATATAGGACATGATCATGAACCCAAAGGGGGTGAGGAAGATGAGGGATCCCGTGGCAATCAATGCTATATGATTGACTTGGATGTCAGAACATGCAAGCCTTAGCAGGACATACAGCTCACAGAAGATGTAGTGGATCTTCCGGGACCCACAGAAGGTCACCTTGGTCATGAGGAGGGTGTGGATGATGCCATAGAGGACTGAGAGCACCCAACATAAGGTAAGGAACAAAATACAGAGCCCAGGGCTCATGGCTGTGGTATAGTGGAGGGGGCGGCAGATGGCCACATAGCGGTCATATGCCATTGTGGCCAGAATAAGGTTGTCTAGGGCCACCAAGGAGATCAGGAAGTAGAGCTGTGTCAGACACCCTCCATAGGAGATGGCTTTGTTCTGGGACTGAAGATTCACCAGTGTGTTGGGGATTGTGTTGGTGACAAAGAAGACATCAGTGAAGGAGAGATTGGCCAGAAAAAAGTACATGGGAGTGTGCAGGCATGAGTCGGTGCCTATGGCCAGGATGATGAGTGAGTTTCCCACCACTGTGACCAGGTACATGGACAGGAACATCCAGAACAGGACCTGCTGGTCTTCAGGCCTCTCGGAGAGCCCCAGGAGAAGGAACTCAGAGACTCCACTCTGGTTGCCTCTAGCCATACTCCCACCTTTCTGCAATATGAGCACCAACAGACTTTTACTATATGACCTCAATAAAATAAGGACATTTAAATAATTAAAGCCAATTGTTTCTAAGCATTCAAAATATCTTAGGCTAGATTTTACCTTTTTTTGACATAAAAAAATGCGATTATAATAAACATAGAAACAGAACATGGATAATCTTTATGCAGCTTAGTAATTCCAGCCATAACTAATCTGGCATGCTCAATATTATAGAAATAACACCAACTGTATTATTTTAAATAATATCATCTTGCAATTCCCTTAGGAGTGCTTAAAGATTAGTATGTTATATTTTGATATTGTACACACTTACACAAAATTTAAAACAGATATATGCAGTACAAGAAATTGATGTTATACAATTGGACAAAGGGGAAAAGTAAAAACATTGAAAAGGAAATGGAAAAATTATCATCATTTGATGATAGGATGATCTACTGGGAAACATAAAACAATCAGCCGAAATGCCATTAGAAATAAAAAGAAATTTCAGAACACTTGAAAAGAAGTCTGGCACTTTCTAGCTGTGAAAACTTACATGGCAAGTTACATAAGTTCTTTGTCTCCATTTCTTAATGTGAAAAATGGGTTAGAGTGAGAATAAAATTAAGTAATAAAGTTACTCAGAGTAGCAGGAGGAGCTAACCTTCAGAGAGTACTCAAGAAATATTTATTATTATTATTATTATTATTGTAAGTAAACAATAATCAGGAATAATAAGATTAAAATATGATGTCCAACAATTACATCCACATTATCAACAAGCAAAACTATGTATTAAGATGTAACAAGAATCAGGCAGGGTCTTCAAGTTCTTTGGAGAGGCATAAAGTAAAATCTTAATAAATGGATAGACATACCAAGGTTCCAGACAGGAAGATGAACTATTATGCAAATGTACATATTCTACAAAATTAATGTAAAATTTAACCTATCCAAAAGCAAAATTCTAACAGGGTTTGTGAGAAAACAAAGTTCATCTAAATTTAATCTAAAAATAAGCATGAGGACTTCTGGTCAAGATCGCAGAGCAGGTAAACACTGTGTTCCCCTCCTCCTGCAACCACATCAAAATTACAGCTAAATTATAGAACAACTACACTTGAGAACCACCTGAAGACTAGCTGAACAGAACTTATATACTAAAGATATAAAAAGAAGCCACTTTGAGATGGGCAGGAAGGGTAGAGAGGTGAAATGGGCTGGTCCCACCTCCATGTGTAGTGGTTAAGACTTGGAAGAGATATCTTGGCTGCAGAGGTTCCCCCTGAGGAGCAAGGGGTCTCAGTCCCACATTAGTCTACCCAAGTCCAGAGCACCAGTGCTGGGCAGAGAAGTCTCCACAACATCTGGTTGTGAAAATCAGCAGGCACTCAGTCTGGGTGACACAAAGGGCTACTGAAAACCTAGGTACCCTCTTAAAGAACCTGACCACAGCCTCACTTGCCTTAAGTTCCAGAAAAAGGACAACTGCTTGAAAGCACCAGGGTCATATGGGGTGGAGCTGAATTGCCTGGCTTCAGGATGAGGGCTGGAGGGGCAGCTCTCTCTGGGACTAAATTGTCATCAGGTGCCATTGTTCCTTTGTTGAACATCTCCTGGACATAACCCCTAGAGGTAGACAGAAATGCTAGCACACACCACTGTTCCTTTTTTTTGGGTCCTTCCCCAACCCAGCCTGCAGCAGACACAGGCCAGCACCGAATCTGAGTCTCCATTCACTTGGCTAACACTGCTCTCCAGTTACTATGTTTATTCCCTGGGACCTCATCCCAGCCAATTCACCTGCCAGGCCTGACCCTCTTTCAGACAATAATCCACACAGGCAGCCAGCCTGTGCTCAAGCTGTGGACTATCCTAAAATCTCCCAAAGGTCCCCAAACAAGCAGCAGTTGGCCTCTGCATGCCCTGTGCCCAAGCCCAGCACTAGTGGCAGGTGGCCTCTATTCACAGCATAACCACTCCCAGGTGTCTCCAAGACCAGCTAACAACCACAGATCACTTTGTAGCTCCTACCATGACACAGGCAGTGGTAGACTTTGACCTGAACCCAGAGACCCCAGAACCAACACATCTGGGCTTCAGACCACACCAGAGCATAAGGATGGTCAAGAAACTGAGGGGAAGAATATATTGTCTCAATGAAAACTTCAACAAAGAGACAGGAAATATAAAAAAGGAGACAGAAACAAAAAAGAACCAGTCATAAATGAGGAGGAATAATAATTGAAATGAAGAATACAGTATATGGAATCCACAGTAGATAATATGAAGTAGAGGATCAAATCAGTGATTTGGAAGACAAGGTAGCAGAAAACATCCAATCAGAACAGCAAAAAGAATAAAAGAATCCAAAAAAATAAGGCTAGTTTAAGGGACCTCTGGGACAACATCAAGCATATCAACATTCACACCATACGGGTACCAGAAGGAAAAGAGAGAGCAAGGGATTGAAAACCTATATGAAGAAATAATGACTGAAAACTTCTCTAACCTGGTAAAGGAAATAGATATGTAAGTCCATCAAGCAGAGAGAGTTTAAAATAAGATGAACTAAAAGAAGCCCATGCCAACACACATCATAATTAAAATGCCAAAGGTTAAAGACAAAGAGAGAATCTTAATTGCAACAAGAGAAAAGCAGCTAGGTATCTGCAAGGAAGCCCCCATTAGACTGTCAGCTGATTTCTCAACAGAAACTTTGCAGGCCAGAGGGACTGACATGAAATATTCAAAGTAATGAAAAGCAAGGACCTACAACCGAGATCACTCCGCCCAGCAAGGCTATCATTTAGAATCTAAGGCCATCATTTAGAATTGAAGGAAGGGCTCCCCAGACCAGAAAAAGCTGGAGTTTATCATTACCAAGCCAGCATTACAAGAAATGGTAAAGGGATTTATTTAAGAAGAAGGAAAAACAAATAAAAATATAAGTAAAAAAATATTTAAAAAGTTTTCACTGATGAAGGCAAACACATGATAAAAACAGTAAATCACCCAACAGTAAAGTTTGTACCTAAGTTAAAAGACAAAAGTAGGGTCATGTGTAATCACTATAGTAACTTAAGAGGTACACACAAACACACACAGAGAAAAGTATATAATGACAAAAACATAAATGTGGAAGGGGTGAGTAAAAATGCCAGTGATTATATTATGGAATATGTTTGAACTAGAAGCCATTAACTTAAAATAGACAGCTATAAACCTAGCTTGGTATACCTGAAGCGCAACCTGTCTGACAGGGGAGAAGGTAGGGGACAGGTGAGAGGGCTGGGAAAGTCTAGAGGACATCCAGAGGAACCGATACCTCTGCTTTCTAGGCCTCAAGTCAGGCATCTCCCACACATTAGTGCATATTAAAATCACCTGGGATGCTTTAAAACCAAAAGCCTATTTTGTGGTCCCCTTCCTTCCTTTGGTATTGAGAACCAAGTTTTTTGTTTTGTTTTGTTTTGTTTTTTTAAATCACCTGGTGATTCTGACTGTACATTTTGGGAAATACCACTGCTAGCTTGTAAGAGTCAGTGGGTTCCGAACATTTGTGTGGCCAGTTGTCTTTAAAGCTCCCTGCAGTGTGGCCGGGTGGAGAGGAGGAGCGTGGGGCGGCTTGGAAAAGGGCTCTAAGCTCAGCCTTAGACGACCTTCCCTTCGTACCTCCTGTGTTACTCCCTGGCCACGTGACCTCAAGGAGGGCCCACACCCTCCTTGAGCCTCCTTATCCCACCCATAAAGCCTTTCTTGCAAATTTGAGAGTCAACACAACAATGTTTGACAGCAGTTGGAAAATGATAGATGAAAAAAAAAAGATTGGAGGGATTGTTATGTTACCTTTAAAATCTAAGGAGGTAGATTATATGAAGATGTTCAAAGTATATATCTTTGTGAGAGAAAATGGAGAAGAGAGAAGATAAGAAAGGGGGAAGGGGAGAGAGAGAGAGAGGGAGATGGGAGGGGAGAGAACGTCTGAGACGTCCAGACCTTACCCACTCTGTCCGTGCTGGTCTCAAAGTTGCCTAGTTCTGCTGCTTCCACTTTTCTTCCATACAGGGTGAAAATTTGTCAGGACAGAGAGGATTGTAAGGCGATGTTTCTGAATGGGATTTGGAGATTCATCCTATTGGCTGAAGCTAGGAAGGTGGAAGTAGTTCCTGGATCTTCTTTGCCTGCAAAAGAGGAGAAGAATGTAAGGCTGTGGATGCTGTGATGATCCGTGGGAATCTGAGAGCTGATCCTCTGGTATCAGGTTCATGAGGAAAGAGACTGCGCTGGAGCCACTTCAGACCTACTTGTCAGTTTTGGAGAGGCCTTGGGGAGGCAATCCCAAGATGGCTTATTGAGGTGAACCTGGATAATTGGCTCCAGTGTTAGTATCTATAAGCAAAAGCCTTGGGAAATGAGCTGTTTATCTGGAGTGAACCAGTTCCACTTTGGCAGTAGTCCTAAAGGGCACCCTAGGAGTAAGAACAGGCTATAATCAAAGACCTCCTGGCTTGCAGTCTTTGGAGGACTGGAAAAATCTCAAGCACTGTATTTGGATCAGGATGATTCCAGATTGCTAGCAGCCCTGAGTACTAAGAAAAAGCAATTGAAAAAAACATCATATTTGGGGGTATATAATGTCATCTTAGGCCTCCAATTATTCCTCTGAATAGTTTTTTAAACACAATATTCAGCACAAACCCAGAGAAACAGACGCGTAGGCAATAGGGTTCTAAAAGCCAGGACAACAGATGAAAGCACAGCAGGGGCTCCAGAGAATACAATAATCAGACATAGATTGAAGAACAATGATGCTTACAATGCTTTTGGAGACAGAGCCAAGCCAGGAAATTTTGGCCTTTACAAAAAACAAACAAGAGTAACTAGCAGTCAGTCAAACACATCCCCCGCCCTGCAAAGATCCTCTTGTGTTCTCTTCTAGACGCTGTTTTTGAAAGGGCACTCATGCCCCTGACTCCTAACAGCAGCCATTAGTTTTACCCACTTTTATACTTTGTTTAAATGAGAGTGTACCTTT